TCAAGAAGGTTCAGTTGTCCTTGCATCCTGCCAGTTGGATGTTGTATTTAACGTTCTATCTACGTTATCTATTGTTCAATTCTAAGAAGAAAATTATTTCTACACAAGATCTATAGTAGGTATGTTATCATTCGAACCTGTTGTAACCTAGGAAGAAGTTTGAGCACTTGAAAGACAAAGCAGGGGTCTCCAATCTCTGAACTATTTGGAATTTTGACTGCACATTGCAGGTCTTCTCCCAAAATGCTGCTGGTGAAAAATTTGGATGAGCTTGTAGATGGAGAATGCTTGCTATGGAGGTCACAGCCACATACAAAGCATTGGTTTCTCAAAAATAAGTCTCATTGTGCTGGCTCCTTTTTGTAGACCATTTCCACATTACCTTAATCATACTGTAAACATGCCCTTATGTCATGTCCTCATGACACCTTTGTCTCATCTCCTGCTCACAGTGGTGGCAGCTTAGAGATATGATCTGGCATGCTTCATTGGCAAGATAGTCGATGATTTGGTCAAGGGCTTGAATCTGAACTATGATGACCATTTTGGCTTGAGCTGCAAAACAGAACAGCCACCTGCAGCTCCATTTATTTATTTATTTAAATAACGCACGTAATGCCTGCTCAGCACTTTTTCTTTTTTATTGGTTTTTAAAAGCAAACAAACAAACAAAACATAAAAACATCAAGCTGTCTCCCATAGGTGTACATACAGTGTGCCGGTTGGTTTACAAATTGTTTTGTGCTTCCATTTCATAGTCTTCAATTACAGTTACATTACATATAATCTCATATTGTCAATCAAAAACTAAATACCTTAGTATCATTATTAATCAATCATTTGACTATACTTTTATTCATTCATGTTTTACAAGATAACCATAATTTACTTAATTTATTGTATAACACTTCATATTATCATCCCAAATCTATCCTAAAATCATTTTGTAGTTATAAGAAAAAAGTACATCTTTATATATTTGTTATTTTCTAGAAATCTACATATTTCATTACTGTACTTTATTATCTAACCATTGATAGAAAAGATCCCAGATTTTATGAAATTGTTTATCCTCTTGTTCTCTAATTTCAAATGTCAATCTACTCATTTCAGCACATTCCAATATTTTCTCTGCTCAGCACTTTTTCCAGTATGTACTGCATCAGGCCTTATTGCAGGTTCTTTATGTATACAGCTTTCAAATTCTTTTGGAAACATGCTAGAATTTGGCTTTGAAAATGCTGCATGGGTTTAGTGCTCTTCTAAAACAGGAGTCCCTAACTCCTGGTCCAGTAGGGACTGGCACTGGTCTGTGGCATGCCAGAAACTGGACCGTGCAAATAAAGCCCCATCCGTGGAATATAAGCAGCACACAAAAACAGGCACCTCCAGTTTGTGGAAAATCTCTCTCCACAGAATCAGGCTGTGATGCCCAAAAGGTTAGGGGCCATTGTTTTAAACCACTGCTAATTTATTTATTTAAATAAAAAAACAAGACTTAAGTCTTTAGAGTGTCTGCTGAGGTTATGCTGCATGGAAAGTTGATTTAAACCTTAAAATAGGTATTGCCAGTTTTATACTGTTGATTCTGTTACTGAGCGCATTACAGTAGTGGGATTCAAATTTTTTTTACTACCGGTTCTGTGGGCATGGCATGGCTTGGTGGGTGTGGCAGGGCAAGGATACTGCAAAATCCCCATTCCCTCCCCACTCCAGGGGGAAGGTTACTGCAAAATCCCATTCCCTCTCCACCCCACCCCACTAACCTGCTTTCCAGCTCCGTTCTCCTGTGCAGAGCAACAAAAGAAGACCCAGCCAATCAGCTGGGACTCGGGAGGCAGAGAATAGATGGGGGTGGGGCCAGTCAGAGGCAGGATTTGCCGGTTCTCCGAACTACTCAAAATTTCCACTACCAATTCTCCAGAATTGGTCAGAACCTGCTGAATACCACCTCAGCATTACAGGTTTTCTACCTCTTTTTCTAGCAAGGGATTTCACTCTTTTTTCTTTTTTACTATTTTTATTATTTTGGTGGAAAGGCGTCGTTTTTCCTTCACCACATGGGCTGCTTCTAAGTGCTGCAAGCCACATTCAACACTGTTATATCCAGTGGAACTTGCTTATCATTGGCTTCTTCCTCTGTGACCGGTCAACCAAGGTATTGGACACGAGTTTAGCACTCTTTCAGAACAGCGGTAAATCTGTATTTGGAGAAAGTAACAACACAGAACATGGCTACGTTGTCACCTGTCCATTGAATGACTTGACTGGGGTTAAAGCAGCTTTTCTATCTTCATTTATCCATCTCCACCCATTTAGAGCAAGGTAACCTTCAGTTGGAGAGAAGCGAAGGTGGGGGAAAAATATCCACTACCGTCCTTCATTGGCCCATATTAAACCAGTAAAAACAGAACTACTTGTGAGGCAGAATAGGGATCAGCAGAGGGCAATACAATTGATTCGTTTATATACTTTTTTCCTGGATTGGATGGGTGTCATACTTTAATGTGCTTTCTGACTGTGCCTCATCTCCATTTAGAAAATTGGAAAAAGTACAGGATGCTAGAAAAAGGTAGGTGAATACTACAGTTCAAGAGTGTTGCAAGCTCCAGTTGGTTGTGTGTGTTCACTTGGTTTTTTTATTGTGTTGTTGGGTTTATTTTGTCATGTTATTGCATAAAAACATATGAATGAATCTAATATGTTTATATTGGATATGAACAATATGGATATGAATCTAAAAATAAATACAATATTGGGCCTGAAACCAGCATAGTGTGTATTTTGCACAGAAAAAAACCAGCAAAACTGCCATCTTACCCTTTCATTCATCTTAACATACTTTTATTCCCGAGCAGAATAAACTTTAATAATAACAAAGATGCGAACATATTTTTAAAATATGTACATGTACTAAATGCTCTCTTCATCTCAAGGCTAGCTCATTTTAACTTGTTAACATTTAAAAATGCTTGAAGTACTCTGTTAAATTAACATTATACATAAATAAATAGGCTTCCTCCTGAAACAGAAGCATCTGTTATCTTATAACCACATTCTATAAAGATTAGTAATTTCTCGACATTGCTGACCCTATTTTTTACACAACTTCTTGAACTGTATTAAACTCGGGCACAGGCCAGATTCAAACTAGAGAAAATTCTGGAAAATGTCTCCAATTAAAAATCCTCTGAAATGAACTGGACAGTAGAGACATCTTGCTGAGATCCTGCATTGTTTGATCTTAGAAGATCACCCCATCTGCTTTGTAATCGTTGATACCTCAATATACAAGGATATGTTGGTCTGTTCTAAACACAATAAGGGCCTACTTACATTACTGAATTTTAATGTTCTAGGACAGTGGCCCCCAATCTTTTGGGCACCAGGGACCGGTACCATGGAGAATGGTTTTCCGTGGACCAGAGGGGCGTGGTTTTATATGCTGCCTGCCTCCCGTGGAAGGGGCTTTGCTTGTTGGTGTGGCCCGATTTCTGGCATGCCATGGACCCATGCTGTTCCACGGACCGGTAGTTGGGGACCCCTGTTCTAAGATATTTTATCCAGCAATATTAAATAATATAGCCCAGAAATGATAGCCTTAGAGAACATACTCTACATAATTGCATGCACTGTAAACAATTCAGAACAGGAATGTACAAACTACAAGGGTAGAGAGGGAAATGGTTTAAGAAACGGTAACATGGAGGACCTGAACTGAGTTGACATTTGAGGTGGTAGATTATAAGGCTCTGTGTGCATACATTTTCAGGTCCAGTCTTGATCTGGGTCGCTAATTAAGGAAAGGAAAAAAGAAACCTTGTCCTTTAAGGAATAGGCAAAGTTTTTCCTTTTGTGGATTCAAATTTCCCTGCTGGGAGAAATGCAAAATGATTTGGTCAGCTGCGTTGAAAGTCAGAATTAGTTTATTAATAGGAAGGCAGGTAAGAAATCTCACAGCATTCCTAGGATTAATCTAATCTTGTGAGTAGAGAAACCCTTTTTTGTACCCTTCAGATCCTTTTATTTTGTAAGTGTGAACCCCTGAAGTCTTTGATTTGTGTGTTTGTGATGAGTTCCTGTCTCTTGATATTGGGATCTCTTCCTGGGATCTTGGTAGGAGTAATTGTTTTATATTAGCTGTTTGTTCACTTTGTAGCTGCTTGTTGCATTAGGTTGCAATATCCTGAGTTTCCTGTTATATCTTTTGGTTTGCTTTTCACAAGTTTATACAGCTTGCCATCTATTTGATTTCTATGGGAAAGTATCTTAGCTAGTTTGTGGGGTTTTTTTTCTCTGTGTCTCATGCCTGTAATTTTCTCCTTCCTTTGTTGTGAAAAGTAAGCTGGCTCCAGCTATTTTAATAGCCCTACTTGACAAAGGGTGGGGGCTGTTTTCCTAGAGGAGAGGGGAATCCCAACTTCCAACATCTTGGCATTTCTCTAGTGGAGAATCTATCAAATAAGTATTTGCAAGGGGGAGGAAGTTATGTTTTGTTTTTGTTGCTTCCAGCCTCAAATCATCTTGGACAAGACAGATCAAAGAGTTTTCTCATTTTGAGAATTGTTTTGCTAAAAGTTTGAGAAAAGTTATCTGGATAAAAAGACCTGATGGATGATTGTCAAGTGAAAATAACAGAGGAGGAAAGGAAAATTCAGCTGTATAGAAATACCCGCCAAATGAATGGGGCAAGAAGGAATATCTGCAAAACAAATGGGGCTGAAGGCTGAAATAATCAAAGTGAAAAGTGCACAAAACAAAAAGGCTCTGAATAAGGGGATCAGATACGGCAGAAAAGATGATTTGATAAAGGTCTGAAACAAAATCTTCAATCCTTATAGATTAGAATAAGCTGAGAATACCTGAAATAAAGCCCTAGTGCTGGAGATCCAAAGTCATCAACCCATGTATGAAAGTAGCAACTAGCAAAATAACTACAAGAAGAATGGACATAATCCAAAATATTATTTGCCAACCTGTTCAAAAACTGCAAAGAGTTGTTTTTACCATCAGCAATAAAAAAATAAGCATGGTTTTAAAGGAGCAATCGCTAACAAGTCTTGTTGAAGAAAACTCCAGCTACCTTTATTACTTGTTACATTGCACCTGCTAGAAAAATGACATCCAGTGATCCCACCTGTTAGCTGGATGATGGACAACTGATGATCAAAGAAAAACTTTGTTTAGGGACAAGGTGAAGGCTGTTCTTGCACCGTGTTGGACTTTCCCTGCACTATAAAGAAACGATTCTGTAAATTTGATGTAGTCCAATAATACTTAGCAACATTACCTATAAAATGCACAATCTTGAGATGTTCTTGTTTCTAAGCAATATTTTATGGTTAAAATTTACTAAGCATGCAATTTTATTTTTGTTCAAACTGCTAGCAGAACTACTAGCCCTTTATGTTGTTCTAAGGCCAACCTTTAATAAAGGTCCTTTCCCCCACCTCCTTTCTGAATCTTTAAGCACAATATATTACAAGGTCTGTGCTTTTCCTTTCCGCTTCTCAATTCTTCTTAATCAACTTGTTCCGTTTTTCTATAAACCACAGGCCATTCTCAGAACTGAGGACATGAAAGGCTTCTCTTTTCTATATCAAATTTAATCAACCCTTCTAGCTTCGTTCGATTGCTTCATTTGAACGACTCCTTCCTTTGTGTCATTTGAAGACTTTTAATTCTCCCTGAGCTTAGTCTGAAAATATCTGCTGTCAGATGTGTCATTCAAAAAGCTCTAAAATTTCCCTAAAAGAAAATTCTGCTGTTTGTCCTGGGGGAAAAAAAAAACAACCACCTCTGCTCAGTTTTTATGTTGAATTGGAATGCAAGTGTAATTCAACTGTGAAGAATGCAGAGTGTAACTTGGCAAACCATTCAAAGGAAATGAAATGCAGCGTTGCAGACGCCCCTAAAATCATGATTCAGACTGTGAGTAGTGTGTACTATAATAAAACCCTGCTCAAATTTTCAGAGAACAGTCATCAATATAGTGCATTACTCATACATGACTGGTATTCAAACAGAATGTTAGTCAACAGGTGTTTTTTTTTTTTAAAAAAAAGATCGAACATAAATAAAAAAAAACCACAATATTTGTCCATTCATAGGAAATTAAAGCCATTCCTTTGCAACACTGTGCATCGATCCAACGGTGTAAATATATCCTTATCTCCTTGCACCATAAAATGTCTTCCAATTTCAAGAATGCAGCACAGCTACAAATACTAATCCTTTCTGAATCTTTTTTTTTAAAGACAACAAGAGACACTCCAGTAAGACTGCTATGGTAGCAGAAGCAACCAACAGGAGTTTGAAATCCCTGAAGTGCTATCTACAAGAACTCAATTAGTAACTGATGCAGCATATAAACAGTAGCCGTTCAGGTGAGGAAAGAAAGGGGGTTGCAAGCCTTCAAACAGGAAGATAAAAGAGGAAAACTGATCACAGTGGACACTGTTTAACCAGGTGAAAGAAACTTTCCCTATGAATGTAACATGAGGATGCTATCAGGAATCTCATGCTAATGTCTTGGGAGCGGAAGACAACATTCAGCATTGCAGGAATAGATTTGCATTCAGGGAAGCGTTTCCCTGACCCTCCACAACTCTATGAAAATAGCTATATCTTTCTAAGGAGCTCCAGTGGCAGGGGTTTTTGACCTGGCAGAAATGGAGATGCAGTGGCAAAGGGGCATTGTTGGATATAATTCTTTGACGGGCTCAGAGTAAGCTCCCTTTGGAGTAGCATCTCTGCCTCTCAGTACAAGTCAGTTTGTATGGATTAGAATGCCCAACTCCACTCAGGAAGGTAATTCACCTCTTCCCCTGCGTGCGATCTTTTCACTGGTGGCCATTCTAGAGAGCTCATCAAGGGAGAGTGCTAGCTGCCATTCTGGTCTACTTTAGACATTTTGAACATCACAAGCTACTCGCACATTTCTAGCTACAAAGTGTAGGCTCCACTTAAACAACTATTACCAGTTTCTCTCTGACACCCCATTGACTACAAAACCCAAGTGTTCCACTAAAATCAAATGATTTCCCCCAAAATTATTTTACAATCCAAAAATGAATTAATTTTTTATAGGAATTCAAGGCTCACAGAGAACTAAACTTGGTCCCCCTGAAGGAAGGACAGAGATTTTATGAGTCAGGCTCTTGTGCAAGAATGTTTGAAGCGAACCCTTCCTGACCCTCAGAATTCATGCAACTCAGGATCTTTCTTCATCCTCTTGATAGTAGCTATCAATTACATCTGAATTAAAATAGACCACTGTAACAGTGATATCATCCCTATACATGCGTGCTAAGTCATCAGGAAGAGTCAACATTGCCATAAGCTTTTCCTGGTCTATCTCTCCATACTCATTGGCACCAATGGCATGTCTGATAAGGTGAGTCGCCACATTCTGGTCACAGGGCTGGGCAGTCCGGGCCTTCCTCCGAAGTAGATCTTGCACATACCCCAGACTGGTTGGTTTCTTAAAAGTGAGATGAGTTTTCTGGACATCATCTTTAACTCTATGGTTTGCAATGAGCTGGACCACCTCTTCGTTACTCAACATGTCCCACAGGCCATCAGAAGCAAGAACCAAGAACTTATCCTCCCGTCTGATTTTGTGGTAAGTGACCTCCGGCTCAGCTGTTAAATAAGGGGGTGTGTGATAACACGGAGGGACATACTCATAGATGTTTAAATCCTCCAGGTTGCAGTGGTTTTTAAGGATACTCTGCTGCAGATCCTGACTCCACTTGAACATAACGTCTCCAAACGCTCTGGAAGGCATAAGGACGCCCAGCAACCTGCCGTTCATAAGGAGAGTGTTCCCTTCAGAAGTTGGGTGCTCACTTTTCAACCGCGAGATTTCTGATTCGTTGAAAGCATTGTGATCTCGGGTAAGAGGTAAAGCAGACCAGGTGCCATTGGGGTTCTGAGCTCCCAGGATCACCCTGCAGTCCCCAGCATTGGCAACATGCAAGTGAAGCTGATCGACATGAGCTAAGCAAGCCGTTGCACCCGAGAAAGCCACCTGTAGAGCGATGTTCTTCAGAAGTTCGTTCTTGGCAGGTGCCTGAACTTCCAGCGATATGTCTGAATCCAGCCTTTTAAAAGCCCCGATCATAGCTTCTTCCATCGTCAGCCCAAGGTCTGTGTCCGAGTTCAGTAAGTCCTGCCAATAAACTCTGAGCTGCTCCAGGTACAGGGAGGCCACCTCGTGGAAGAAGCTGTCGTTGGGGTGTTTGTGCCACTGAAGAATAGGCAGGATTGGTTTCATAGATTCCATGGCCGACTCAATCTCCTCCAGCGTTTGCCGAGAGAGAAGAGAGACGGCAAGGTAAGAAAACAGCCTCTCGCTAACTGACTGTGCACAGGAGTAGCCAGCGTGGCCATCAAAGACTCCAAACATCATCCCCCTTGTCTGCAAACAGGTTGCCGCGCTTCGGCGGTCTTCTATTGGCACGTTGGCTCCCAGGTGGTTGGACTCGAATTTCAACACCGAGCTGGGATTTTTCCCGTCAAATTCAGGGACGGTGTAGGATAACTCGCTCGCCCTGAGGACCTCATTGATCTGTGATGGTGTCAAATGGAAAGAGAAGTCTTCTTCCTCCGTGGAAGTATGTCGGAACGCTTTTCCCAGAGGGAAAACGTGGGTGGCCTTGCAACTACAGGTTGCTGGGGACCAACCTGAACGACCTTTGGCAAACAGACTTTTCCATGCTTGATTTTGGGAGAGGACGTATCTGGAATAGAGGCGTCCTCTTCCAGGCAAGGTGGCAACAGCAGACCTTGAAATAATAACCCAGCTAGGCATAATGCTCACGATTCCTTGGGCTTCCAATCAGCACGTTCTGGAGAGTCTACAAGTAAAACAAAAACATAATTAAAGGAGAAAACAGGAAGATTGCACAAGGCTTGGACAACCTTGAACTACGCTGCCTACAGTTGGACTTAAGCGTAGTACACAAAATTATCCGCTACAATGTCCTACCAGTTAATGACTACTTCAGCTTCAACCACAACAATACAAGAGCACGCGACATACAAACTCAATGTAAACTGCTCCAAACTTAATTGCAGAAAGTACAACTTCAGCAACAGAGTGGTCAATGCCTGGAATGCACTACCTGACTCTGTTGTTACATCCTCTAACTCCCCAAACTTTAACCTTAAACTATCCACTGTTGACCTCACCCCATTCCTAAGACTTCTGTAAGAGGCGAGCATAAGCGCACCATTGTGCCTACCGTCCCTGTCCTATTGTCCCCATTTATTCATACCTATTTCCTGTATTCATATTCATGTTTATACCTATTATCTTGTAAGCAATTGACAAATAAAATAAAATAAATAAATAAAAAAAAATTTCTACAGCAATGGGTTGACAAAATTATTTCCTACCAAGAGGCTCCTGAAGATATAATCGCTTATGATGGTTCTCAGTAATAATTTTGTCTGCCCAGGCAGCTTACAGACATCAATCTGGTAACATTCACATGGATGAAATTAAACAATATTTCTGGATTCTTAGCAGGGGTCAGCAGTAGGACATTTTCATAATTGCAATATCCCTTCTACTTGGAAACCGTTTCTGGACTTTGTGCTTGAGATGAGAAAAAAATGAAACCTTGTTTTTGGGTTTTCCCAATCAGATAGGATTGTTGTTATAGAAATGGCTAGTATATATTATTATGTAAAAGTAAACAGTTGAGGTTCTGCGTTATTAACTTATTCTATTGTGCCAAAAAGAGTTGAAGAAGAGTTTTCTTTTTTTCTTTTCCCTTTTACTCTACCCATTTTCCCCTTCTTGTCCCCCATTTCCCTATTATTTTCATTTTTCTTTGCATTTCTATATTTTACGTTATGAGTAATAAAATTGGGTAATCTCCAAGATTTCGTAACTGCAGCATTTCAAAGTAGCCTACACATCTTTACAAAATTCAGAAGTTTTATGGTGGAAATCTTTCGAGACAGATTGCTAAATCTTGAGGCTTCAGGTTTTTCTTACATGATATCTGTAATGATATGTTGGAATGACCTTGAAGAAAGCAAGAAGAGCCACAGACTAGACAATCATCATGCAAAAGGCATCTCAGTCCACAGAAAGAAAAGGGTGAGGGAAGTATCTCGACCTATTTTTCTGGAAAGTAAAAGTAAAAGAGGGTGAAAGTGCTTTCAAACTTGCAAGATTCTGTTACTGTAACTTTACAATAAAGGTAACAGCAGCTCATGGTTTATATTTCTTGTTTGGACTACCTGACTAACAGTACTTTAAAGAGCCGTGGTGGTGCAGTGGTTAAGTGCAGTATTGCAAGCTAATTCTGCTGACTGCCAGGGGTTCGATCCTCACCAGCTCAAGGTTGACTCAGCCTTCCATCCTTCTGAGGTTGGTAAAATGAGGAGCCAGATTGTTAGGGGCAATAGGCTGACTCTGCAAACCGCTTAGAGAGGGCGGTAAAGCACTGTAAAGCGGTATATAAGTCTGTGCTGTTGCTATTTCAGGAATATGATAGCTGGAACATTATGACCTACAATGATTGTGAGGCTCTTTCAATTTTCCCTTTAAGTAGGAGACATAAAAAGCCATCATACATTGTGGTTGCCTATTGCACGAAAGGTCTGCTGATCTGTAGATCACCCACAACATAGGTAGATTTCAAAACTGCCAACTGTAGGCATTGCTGGAATGTGTGTAGATACCAAGATAGCAAAAACTATTTACTTAGTCCTCATCTCTTTTTACAGGACATATGATTTGCTCCTATGGGTTAATGTTTGTAAGTTTATGTCATCAGAATAGGGCAATGCAGTGGCTCAGCAGTTTAGTGGTTGGGCTTATCAGCTAGAAAGCTGGCAGCCCAGGTTCAAAAGCTGAGCACCATGTGATGGGGTGAGCTCCCTTCCTTGTCTCAGCTCCTGCCAACCTAGCAGTTTGAAAGCATGTAAATGCAAGTAGATAAATAGGTACCATTTCAGTGGGAAAGTAATAGTGCTCTGTGACATCATAGTGGCCACATGATCACGGAAATGTCTTTGGACAGCGCTGGCTCAATGGCCTTGAACTGGAGATGAGCACTGGCCCCTATACTCAGCAACAAATAGCGGAGTAAAATCAATAGGGAAACTTATTTTAGTTCATCAGAACGTACTTTTTTACAATTAAAGAAACTGCATTACCCAATACTTTGCAGGGTGTTTTTTTTTCCAGTGAAAGACTTCTGATCTGCTTCTCGGAATACAGCTATAAATGAATGAAAAGATAGCCACCTCCCAGTCACATCTTGCGAAACTCTCAGATTTTTTTTAAAAAAATCTATTTTGTAACAGCCCACATGAGGAGTAAAAATTTGGTTTGAGCTTCAATGGCTGACATAAAAGAAACTCAATAAATAAGGTAGCATCCCACGTTGGCTGCCCATTTCTCTTTCGTTGCAATTGAATGCACATTGTTTTGGGAGGAAATCAGACTTACTGGTATCAGAGTATTTGTTTCTGCTCCGCAGTGAGCAAAAAACAACTTGAAATGTCTGGGACCATCCTTAACTTGATCAATGTTAACCCAAGAAAGAGTGTTCTATTATTGTAAAAGGTAAATGTTTCCCTGTCTGGTTGTGTTCAGGTCTAGGGCACAGTGTTCATTTCCTTTTCTTGGTCAAGGAAGCTAGCATTGCTTGAAGACAATTTCTGTGGTCATGTGTCCAGCATGGCTATATGTCCAACACGCATGGAATGTGTTACTTTCCCACTGAAGTGGTATCTATTGATCTACTTGCTGAGAAACTCAGCATCTTTAACTGCTGAGCCCAGTGTAAGTTTTCTTTATAACGTAGAATCATAGATGTTTCCCAGGGAAAAGAGTTATTTCTCTCCTACCCCAATGTGCACCAACAGTTTAATTAGGGGACACTCTTGAGTAACAGCTGAGCCTGGCTTCTGATGATCTCTGTTATTGAGAACCATAAGGAGAAAGGAAAACAAAGTACAGAAGCATTTCCAAAGAAATCTCTGGAGATACACACGCCTACACGCTATTTACTTGTGCTCCTTTTATCAAAGCTTCCAAGTGATTTATTAACTTAAATCTTTAGGAAATGTCGTATCTCAGTGGAGATAGGACACCGGCTTTCCTACACAGAAGGTTTCAAATTTAAATCTTCATCCAAAGCTGGAGAATTGTTTCCCAAAACTTTGGAGAGCCTTTTCTTATCAGGGGCTGATTCACACATTATCCTGACTCAGCAACAGCCTTTATTTTGGTTGGTTCTATTTCAGTTAGTTCTGTGAACTATCATTGGGTAAAGAACAGATTAGAGTTTAGTAGAAGATGGGAGCCAAACCAAGTGAGTTTTTCTCAACAAGCATTATTTTAAGACCTTATGCAGGACTTATGCAAGAAACACCTGTTAGGTGCAAGAAATCAGGAGCCAGGATAGAGTTCAAAGCACTGCAAGTTTATTTCATGATACCTATAGACAAGAAACTTATCTACTAATGTTCAATGCAAACTGGCACCAGGTAAGAGTCAAGGGATGCTGGAATTCATTCTTACAAGAGCGTAGGGACTCCAAACTGATGGTGCCTTGGGCTCAGCCTCGTCATCTCCTACAACACCATGCGAAATTGGGTTCAGGATTTGGAGGGACAAGACAGATTGATAGCTCTACTGTCCTGAATGAAGAGTACCGAGTTAAATTAGTAGATCCTTTCTCCATAGTAAATAGTTGACTTGTGATGGCCAAAAAGAAAAAAAAAGAAAAGAGCTGGAAAAATTACACCGATACAGAAAGCTATGAAAAGAAAGGGGAAGCCAGAAATGATATCCCAACCCAGCCTGGTCTTTCCAGCAGGCAATTCTGCCAGGCTCCTATTAGAAGCCGGGGCTTCTAAAGAAGAGCTGGAATGCAGAGAATGCCAACATGCAATCATTTTCAACAGCCATTCAAGGAAGCGTGGGAAAAAAGAAAGGCCAAGGAGTTTGAAGCAGGAAAGGCTAATATTGTTCTATATCATCTCTCACTTTGCTCAGTGAGTGTCTTCCTTTCGTGAAAACAATAATTCCTACACCGTGCTTGTTCACGTAACTGGGGAAGCATACTGTCCACTTCTGCCAGCCCTTTGAGGTAGCTAGGATCAAGGAACAAACATGGCAAGAAATCCAGGAATATTTTATAGCTGTCTTGAAGCCTTGTTCTGAACTTTCACCACTCCTCCTGAAGGACAACACAGCCTCTTTCTCATACTACTTTCCCAAGGCTGAGTAATTGTCTTCCGTCTTCCTGCTCAAAGTCAGAACTAAATTCCTTTAACCACTTCCTCTCATTTCAGGGGAATTTGACATCAGACGTGGGTTAGCCCAATTTGTAAATTCAAAACTGGGCTGGAGGAATCAAGATTTCAGATAAACTCAGGGCTGCTTCCAATTCCAGACTTAAACTGCCATGCCTTTCTAGCAGTTCGTGATGTGCAAATCCACATTGGTAAATACCTGACTCATGAGATGTGGAAGTAATCCCCAATTTTAATTCTGCGACTCAAGGTAGCTTTGCCCAAACTTGATGCAAAACAGAAGGAGAAAAGCAGGCAGCTTCCTTCACCTCCACCCAAGATCTGAAGGATCCCAGAAGAGAGAGGCAGGAAGGCAATAAACTGGCTCAACCAGATTCTTCTTTTTCCTGGGGCCTCCCCCATAATGACAACAGCCACCAGCTGTCCAAGCAACAATGATTCTCTTGTTCAGAGGTTGCTCTTTCAACAATATTCATTGGGTTTTATTGAGCATTATTTACACTGCTTGCAAACTGCTTTGGGAGGATAGCTATCTAAATGGAAGGATATAAGATAGCTAATAACAAAGATGACT